TGTACATGGTGATGGTGTACAACCACTCTCCCAAATTAACATTCTCGATACTAAATTTGAAGTTCGCGACAAGGCATTTGTTCATGTATCTACCATTCGTCTGCCTACTAAGGTAATTTATAAAACTGATGTTAAACCCGTGTAAATTTGAAGGGTTCAATGAAATGAGACTATGTTAGCGTCTCTTTATATGATAATAAAGGGGTATCTTTAGTTTAGAAATGAGGTGACATTTTCCGTCTCATTATTTCAGGTACTATAATGCACATGCATTTATTTACATCACCTTTTTTCAAAGTTCAGGACTAATTATAAAACTTTGTATAGGGAGATCAGGACTCAAAAGCTATTTGGCACAAGTAAGTCAATTATTCAAGACATAAAGGTAAATAGATGAGCTGAAAAGTTTGCTTAGAAACAAACTACTACATTTTACCTAGAATGACTAATATTAAAGCTATGATGCTATATTGCTTAGGACTATGGTGCTAATTTGAATATTTCTGCAGGATGATGACAATGTTCGCCCAGTAACCGTAACTCTTATGTCTGACAATCCGTCTTCTGATGATTGGGTCGGAGTTTTCTCCCCTGCTAAGTTCAAGTATGGTTATATGTCCGCATTTATGTCTCAGTCTTTACAAAGTATATGCAACTCTATGTCCATTTTTTTTTATATATAAAACTGAATTTAGTTACGATATTAACTAACTCCCTATTTAGAGGGGGTGTGTGCCATTGGAAGACGACTCCAGACGAGGACAGCACCAAAGTGCTGCACCTCAAGGCACTGATAATATACCTAAAATATATGCAAACAAGATATATTTGTCAAGAGTTAAAATAGACGAACATGGGAAAGTTTTAGGCACTAGGAATCTAGGATCAATATGTAAAGCTAAAGTGTCCTTGTCAACCATTCCAATAAGTGGTTGAATTTTTAGATATTTAGGAGATAAATTTTCCAATAAAACAAAAAGAAAGGAGATATAATTTGTTGGGAAGTTATATGAGATGCTTTTTTAGCTAGACATTGAACCAACAACTGAGTATGGACACCTTGCTGATTTGAACCTTGAAGAGATGTGATCACAACTTGAGCTTTATTGTTGAAAAGCTACCTAAGTGCGCTTCTTTTCAATTGCTAGCTCAATAGCCACTTTGGCCACTATGGTCTATTTGCTACTTCAGACGTCCATTCAATCAGAAATGTCTTAGACAAGGCACAAATCACCTCTTCCTTGTCCTAAATAGTAATGACTCATCGCTCACACAAAAGTTTAATCCATTGATGATCACCCCCAAGGGACTCACCTTCTTTCGTTCCTGGCTTCAGCCGAGGTGCTGCATTGGGAATTTGGACAATGAGTGACAGTCACCTTTCAGAATTCATTTGAACATGTATGTCTTGAAATGAATTTTTAAACAGTAATAAAGAGATGATAAATAATAATCACCAATGATAGTGAACCATTGTTTGTGTTCGTCCTGTCAAAATTTGTGGAAGGTGGACATCTTCTTACATTATTTTTAAAAATATGCTCAGTAAATCTACAGACTGCAAGGAAGTTGGTAATGACAAAGTTGAAGACCCAACTATATGCACTGCTCCCATCAAGGTTAGCATAGCTTAAAAGGCTTTTAGTTTAAGATATGGACTTCAAATTGTAGTAGAAACTTATATCGTTTGAGTTTTGATGACAATTAGTACAAATATGCAAACTACTCGAATACAAATTATCTCAAAAGTGGAAAAGCTGAGTTGAAGTTTGAGTTGATTAATCAACGAGCAGATTTTTCCTTTGCATTATTTTCTGGCGGCTTGTCTAATGTGAGTTTATCAATCATGAAGCAGAAGATTTACTCCTCTATTTCTTCTTATCAAGTATACTATATTAATGGTACTAATGCTTCATTTATTTGGTGACTTTAGCCAAAGCTGGTGGCAGTTTCAGACCCTATATCTGTTTTTCCGAACCCAAAAGCCCCCCTTTATCCTCGAATTGCTATGGGAGAAACTTGGGACGTGGTAAGTTTCTTATTTTTATTTATGTTTCAGTTATGTATCAAAGTTTATGTTTTATTATATAAGCTTTGATTTCAAAAGAGGGAAAACACTCTAGTCTTGAAAAAGTGTCAACACCTAAAGAAGAAAATTTTGAAAGATTAAGAAGAATTTTAATTAACTTGATCTATATATGTTGCACTTTTTTCGTTGTACAGATGACAGTGACATGGACTAGTGGTTACAACATAGGTGAAGCTGTTCCATTTGTTGAGTGGGGGGCTTTGGATGGAGCTACAACTCAATCACCTGCAGGAACCTTTACATATACTCGCAACCAAATGTGTGGTATGCTTTGTCTTCCTATTTGATATCATTTTTTATTGTATGGTAGTTTGTCTCACTCAAAAAGATTTCGTGGTTTAATTGATCATGAACAATAACCTTGCTAATTCAGAAAGTTTGTCAGTGACTTAATGACTTATTGAGTTGTTTGGCTGTTGTGAAGCTCCACCTGCGCGAACAGTTGGTTGGCGGGATCCTGGATTTATTCACACTAGCTATTTGAAAGACTTATGGCCAAACACGTTGTAAGAATCCAAAATTATCTATCCACAGTACACTTGTTTTACAGTAATGTAACATTATCAAATGTAGGTTTATAATTGACTTGTCATAATTGGTTATTCTTCAGGTACTCTTATAGATTGGGTCATAAATTACCAGATGGTTCCTATGTTTGGAGCAAGAAATATAAATTTAAATCACCCCCAGTTCCTGGAGAAAGCTCTTTACAACGTGTTGTAATATTCGGTGACATGGGAAAGGTACAACACTTCTTGATACTGAAAGTTATTGATCATACAAAAAATATATATCAAAGTTTATTAGGTAATAATATGACATCCTAAACCGTTGAAGCTCGTTTCTCATAAGATATTTAATCAAGGGAATGGTTATGGGCTTATGGCATGCATTCATTAATCATAACCTAAAGCAAGCACTTAATCTTGAATATTTTAACTAATAGATTACTTATAACAGCAGAATGACATTTTGTATTTCAATTATAATTGAAGGGTGAACGAGATGGATCAAATGAGTATGCTGACTATCAACCAGGAGCCTATTGCCTCAGTTAAACCCTTCATGGTTGCAAGGTTTGTATTCCATATGTTTTTAGCTGTTTATTTCATATTTATTCTCAGTGATAGGCTGATCATATTCCATATCAATCTTGATACTGTCCAGTGGTAATCATGAGCGTGATGCACCAGATGCAGGATCTTTTTATATCTACAACGACTCTGGCGGCGAATGTGGTGTCCCTGCTGAAACAACATTCTACGTTCCTGCCAAGAACCGAGCTAAGTTTTGGTAGGAAAACATTTCTCTATGTTAACAGATCATCTATGTTGTATTCTATTTCTTATTATGTTAGATATATGTTCTATGCAAGTCATAAAAATAAGAGGTAGTTAACAAACTTCTTATGAACAGGTACTCAGCAGATTATGGAATGTTTCATTTCTGCATAGCAGATACTGAGCATGACTGGAGGGCAGGTAGTGAACAATACAAGTTCCTTGAAGAATGCCTTGCATCAGCAAATAGACATAAGCAACCTTGGTTAATCTTTGCTGGTCATCGCCCACTCAGTTACTCCTCGAATAAATGGTTTGGCATGGAAGGGTCATTCGATGAGCCAATGGGGAGAGATGACCTACAAAACTGTGGCAAAAGTACAAAGTTGATCTTGCATTTTGGGGCCATGTCCATAATTATGAGAGGACTTGCCCTGTTTACCAGGTATCTTGTAATTTGAAAATTTTGTACTCTGTATGTCCCTATGAAGCTGACCGCGTTTTTATAACAAGTCGTCCAAAATAACTGGCTATGTATTACCTTTGTTAATAACCTTAACTAGTTACAGAGAAGGTTACAATTTAACTGCTATTACCTTTGTGTGTATGTGTGTATTCAGAACCAATGTGTGAAAGAGGGGAGCTCTCACTTCTCAGGTGTGGTGAACGGTACCATTCATGTTGTTGCTGGTGGTGGCGGATCCCATCTAAATGAATTTAGTCCGATAAAAACTACTTGGAGTATCTACAGAGATCAGGATTTCGGGTTTGTTAAGCTCACAGCATATAACTATTCAAGTCTGAAGTTTGAGTATGTGAAAAGTAGTGATGGTAAAATTTACGATTCGTTCACAATCTCTCGAGATTACAAGGATGTCTTGGCCTGTGTTCATGATAGTTGTGAACCCTACACTTTAGCCGGATAAGATGAAAGATGAAGCAAACCCATGAAAGGCAGAAGATATATGCTTGTTCCGTAATTTTTACTCTTAGTAGATTGGTTTTAAATGTTATTGTTTCTTAGGGAGATGTCATGTAAGTGAGTAAAAAAATAGTAATTGTTGTAACACGGAATGTTTTCTAGTTCGGCAATCCATCAATGTAACATATTTTCTTGTGTCATGCCTTCATCGTGTCTTGTTGACAAATAGATTTGTTACAATATTATATCCATAATTCTTACTCCTTTTGTCTATTAAAAATTGTCTTATTTGACTTTTTCACAGTACTGTGTAAAAATTATAAATATTTGATAATAAAAATAGACATCAAAACAAATATAAGATTTCATATGATGACATGACTATACATTATCAGTGAAAATTTGAAATCAAAATTTTTAAATTTCGACTCATAAAATGAAATGAGGCAATTTTTATGATACAGATTAAAGGAAGTATCATTCTAAACAGTTATACACTAGCAGTGCATCTAGAAGGTTATGACGCTTGAGATAACAATTCAAATATACATACAAAAATCCAACTTACTAATATTTCTTCAGCAAAAAAAAAAAAAGGTTCAACAGTTATAACCAACAGTCATAAAAAAATAAGTTCAGCAACAATTAGTTGAGAATAATGTAACCTCAAATTTCTCCTTGGATGTTACCTATCTAGAATTCTGATGTCTGACAAAAATATTGCTCGTGCATTCGCCATATCATAATGATGATGGTTCTTGACATGTTTCATGTACATGCTCATGTGAAAATAAATTAGGCAACAGGGTTCTCTCTACTCTTGAAAGAAACATCCCTTGACCTTTCTCGTCGTAACTTAAATAAATGGTTCCATCCAACCCAACAATATATTACTATCATCTAATGTCCCTTCATGGACATCCTATATAACATTACAGTATTAAAGAATCCTGTTTAACAAAAGAACAAGATTAGTAACACCTCGATTACATGACAAAGACTATAACCAGTACTGTACAATAATCAAGAAATGACATTCAGAAAAAGCCTCTGCTCATTTCTTGCTCTTCTTTTCTCTAGAACCATTTCGAAAGAAAGAACCAAAACCCAAAAGATCTGATGTACCTTTAGTAATATACGGCGGTGGAACGTTCAAAGCAGCACAATTTCTAACACCATTACCATGTGATCCACTACCTCCTGAACCACTCTTCCTCAATGGCGGCTTCTGACAGGAAGTTGAAGAAAATTTCAGATTCTGACTATTATTGTTATTCATGGTCTTACCATTATTGGAGCCCGGGTTTTTTTGAGTTTGTTTAACAATATCATGAGATGATGATCCGGTTGATTTGCTTCTCAAAAGAAGAGGCAGTGACCAAACAGATGAACTCCTCTTATTACTGAAATTCTCACAGTTTAGACTGCTGCTTCTGTTGAACCTCCAAAAAGACTTTGATTGAGTCTTTTCTTGGCGTACCAAAGTTGCTGTTGTCGTCGAGGTTATCTCCTCATCTTTGTTGATGGAGTTGAGTTTTTCTTTCATCTGAATAGGGATGATCACACCATTAAAAAACAGTTCATCAGCAGGAGAATTATCAGTCTCAGAAAAAGCTGCTGTAACACAGAAGTCGAAATCTTCACAGTTTTGGTTTTCTGATAAGAGTGACATATCTAGTCTAGCAACATCAATTTCTTGTTGGGTTTGGGTTACATTTGTTTCCGATAAATCGTGAGAGAACGATAACCGGGGGCTCGAGCAGGCGCTGCTCGAGTCCCCGCCTGTTATCATGTTCACTGCCATCATTGTTTTGTTTGTTTAAGCTTGTTTTTTTATTTTTTTTTTGAAAGAGGTCAAATAAATTGGCTTAAAAGGGGGAGTGAAATTGTAGAGATTGTTTTAACATGAAGTCAAAAGAAATAAGTGTAGTGTATTAATTATTAAAGTTGGTTTTTTGAAATTGTGGAAAAGATTGAAGAACAAGTGATGAATAATAATTCTTGCTGACTCTTTTTTGGTAAAGTATACAGGAAAGAAAAAAAATGAGGAAGGTTCAACTGCTCCATCAAACTTTAAATATTTTTGGTAAACTTAATTGGTTGAGGAGAGAGAAAATAATAAAAGTAGTGGGGTGGAAGAAGAGGATTGGAATAATGGAGAATCATTATACGAGAATTGAGAATACTTCAAAAGGGTTTCTCTTCTTGGAGAGGCAAAGGTTGACAAGAAAACTAACCTCCCAACTAACTTTTAAGTTATTTTTCAGGTCATAAATCTATTTCTGATTATTTAATTAATTTTTATCTGAAAATATCAATATTTTCTCTAGAGAACACGATTTGACTTTAAACAATTCACACGCTTGTGTTTGATTGTTTTTGTGATTTATAAGTAGTGAAAATATATTTCCTTTGTTCAATTAGTATTATGTTGGTCAATACAATATATAAATTCAAAAAATATCTCTAATTACCATTAAATAAAATAATAACGAAATTAGGAAATAGATATTTTAAAAATACTCATCGGATTTCCTTAAAAAAAATAAAAAAATAAAAGCTCATTGGAAGGCCAAAAATTACAAATCTCTCACATGGTCTTTTTAATTCAAATAAATAATTTACGAGGGTTTTTTAAAACGTATCAACTAATTAAAATGGAAAAGTAATATAGGTTTCATTTTTTATATTCGTCTCATTATAATTTCAAAATAAAAACTTTTATACATGTATAAGTTTAAGCATGATACTCCTTGGGTACCGTACTACCATGCTATACGCGTTATTATGTTAAAATTAAACCATGAGTTATTTTGGAGTGAATCTTATATTATTTTGCTAAACTATAATGTTATTTGCTTAAACATTGTGTTATTTATTATATTAGCCTTTTGTTATTTTGTTTAAACTTTGTATTATTTTGGTTTAAATCATATGATCTTTCTAAGTATGAGGTTATTTTGCTTAAACTTTTTTTTTTTTTTATACGACTTGGTTTTATTTTCTTTAATATAAATTATTTTATTATATTAATTAAACCTTGTATCATTTTGCCAAAAACTTGTGTTATTTTGTTTAAACTAAGTATTTTACAGGAAGTAGCTAAATAAAAATAGAGAATAAAATCGAAAGAGATGAATATGATGAACATAACATATAATATTATGTAACAAAAAGTTTTCTATCAAATAACATAGAGTTATATTATACTGAATAGCATAATGCACTAAATAATGTAACATTCGTCCATAATATGATATACATATATACAATGATCAAATTGATGTAATAACATTATTGTATAGTAAATAACATCATCATTGAATAACATAATACACATTTTGAAATAAAATGAAACAATAAAAACTTTGTATTCCATGAGTACAAAAGAATGCCCATACGAAATAGCATATAATTATGTTAAAAATAACAATTACACAAATTAAAATAATAAGAAATTTACATCGGAATAACATAAAATGTACACAACTTGGAGTACAAAAGAAATTATCCATTATTTATATTAATTATTCGTATTAATTTTTGAATCTATTTATTGACAACGTGACTAATGATATACGTTAACAAAAAGAGAACAGATGAAATACTTCCGTATTACTTTTATAGCCCATTAATTAATGAGAAAGTTTATGACCCCTAGAAAAAACATAAAGAAAACGGATGAAAAAATGACTTTTGAATAACTTGTCAGCATATTCAACATATTTAATAGCAAAAACAAAAAAATTGACTTTTAAGCCTTTTTATGTATTAATTATTTGACGCATTAATTTACAACTCGTATAGTTTACAAATTATATTTGAAATTATTATATAATAATTTTGTACCTAATTCTTGTGAAACATGCTGAATATCTGCCATCTATTGATCAAACTGATGTGTTTAAGGTAGAGCATGTCTATTATATTTCGTGTGCACTTAGTTAGAGTTAGGTGTACTCAATGCGATTTCTTGCTCATTTAAAGTTACCCTTTTTTTTGCATTAAGATGATTCCAAATGAGTAAATGAATTAATAGATACACCTTATTTCTTTGACAACATCTTCGCATTTACCTAAGAAAACATAGTAAAGCAAGAAGCTATTTTTATTTAGTTATTTCATGATTTAACCAAATCTTTTCTTTGTGCATATAATCCATCTATTATATGAAATTTTTTTATACACCCAAGTACAAAGGGTTATTTCTGCTCATTTAATATTCTTTATATAATTTATAATCTTTAAATGAGAAAAAAAATATATATGGAGTATGAAGTGAGTCATTGGGTGCACCACCGTCTATGTACATCGAGTGTATATAAAAGGTTTTGTTCATTATCAGGCAAACTATTTATTTTGTAATATTATTTGGATAAGATTCAATTCAGGGTAGTACATAAACCACACTTGAACATGTCAAGCCCGGCCCGGAAAATGACTAGGTTTGGGCATAATTTTGGGCCCGACCCAGCCCGGCATGTAAAAAATTAAATTGGTTTGGGCAACTAGTAAAACTAATTTTCAGTTAAAATTTTTGCCTAAAAAGCTCAATTTTTTAGTCTGAAACAACGGGTTTGGGCACGTCTTTTATGGCCCAAAATGAGCCAAAATTTTGGGCAAAGCCCAACCCAGCCATAATCACCTCTAGATTTTACCTGATTCATACAATATTTTTTCTTTTTTTTGGTATAGTGAAATACAATTATTTATACTACGTCCATAACACAATAATATTAACCTTTAAAATTTTAGCGTTAATTACAAAGTCTAGTTTATACGTAAGGAAACATATAGTCATATAGGCTTTTGTTAAATTCATATTACAAATGCTTTTTTAATATAAGAACTTTGTATAAATTGTACAAATGCATAATTGGATATATTAGTGTTCTTATACATTAAGGTCCCGTTTGGTTTAATGTAAATATTAATATTTCAATGAAAATTTAGTTTTTATGGAAAACATATTTTCAATGAAAATTAAAAATTACAAATTAATTTTTTTTTTTTTAAACAAGCAGGAAAATATATTAGTTTAAATCAAACTCCGCCAAGGTTTTGAGACCTTGGGGAAATCGTCCATACAAACTAACTCCGAGTTACTATTAGTGCACCACCTTGCAACAAGGGTGTGCCACATTATTTCATGCTCTATGGACATGAGAAATTTTAAACAAATCAAAACCTCTAGCAATTCAATTAAAGCAATATCATCATAAATCAGCCAAGAAGTGAGCAACCAGGCGTGCAATTTCTGACATTCTTAATTACAGACAGTGAGTCTCCTTCAATCTATACTGATCTAATGCCCATACGCCTAGCCATCTGACAACCAAAGCGCACAGCAGCAGCCTCCGCATCCTCAACACTGCATTTTGCGTGGATTCTCTTGACAGCAGCCCAAAGAAGAGCCCCATTATGGTCTCTCGCGACTACTCCTAAGCCACCAAAATTACCAACCCCCACATGTGCATCCACTTTGACTTTAATCGTATCAGGAGGAGGGAGGACCAGGTTCCAGCAGATGGGAAAGGGTTCAGAGTAGGGGGGCTGAACACCTTCTTTGCATAGGAGGAATAGTCACTCACCAATTTCAGGAACCCCGAAACAGTGAAGCCCAAATCAGGTGCTACATTCTCATGGATACGTTTGTTTCTCCAAAACCAAATTGCCCATGCTACTGTCATCAAATCACGCAGCTCTGAGCTTTCCATTTTGCTAGAAAACCACTTGAACCTGTCAGAAAAGACATCAATATGTTGTGTGTCGTTTATTAAGTCCCCAAAGTCGATCACCCAATTGCCAAACATGTTGTACATTTATGTAGTCAAACAAAGCATGTGTGATAGACTCTTCCTCTGTACCGCAGCTATCACAAAGCCATCAGTTGCTATATGTCGTCTGAGGAGCTCCTTTTTTACAGCGATACTCCCTTTACAAGCTTGCCACACAAAATGCTGGAGTTTTTGGGGTCCTCCTAAGCTCCACACCTGTTTCCACACATCACAGCTCGTATCATTATGCCCAACTGAACTGCAATGTACAACCCCCAAAATACCCAGCCAATACCCTGATTTAACACTATATTCTCCATCTTTTGCAAGCCACCAGTAGTGAAAATCAGTAGGTAAGGAACAAGAAAGGGGAAGCTGCTATATAGTAGCACAGACCTCGGGGGAAAAAAGTTGTTGTAGAACCTCCACCTTCCACTCATTGCATTCGAAGTCTATCAGGTCAGCTGATAAGTGGTTTATTTGACCACTTATTGTGGTAATTTTAACCCGGTTTTGTAATCTTTTCCCCTCTTTCTAACACCTTTTTGTATAAAATCTTGCATTTTGGCTTTGCTTCCCCTTTGTATGTGTTTGTCCATGATTTGCAGGTTAGGACTAAATTTGACAAGCAAACAAAGCTCGTGGAAGATACTAGAGCAAGAAATCAATGAAGGAAGAGGCCGCTCCTAAAGGACCGGGTGTGCACCTCTCCAGGAGCGGGCGCTCCTACAAGAATGCAACATTTTGCCCAATTTCAGAGTCTGGAAGGAGCAAGCGTGCGATTCCTTCAGAGCGGGCGCTCCTGATATTGGCACCACAACCTGCCAATTTCTGAAGCAGGGAGGAGCGGGCGAGCACCCTCATAGGAGGGGGCGCTCCTCCCATATCGAGTTGAATCTGTCTCCATCTGAGAATATTAGGAGCGGGCGTGCACCCTTCGAGGAGCGGGCGCTCCTCCCTGTTGGCTTAGATCTGCTACATGTTGAAGAACAAGGGAGCGAGCGTGCAAGATTATGGAGCCGGCGCTCTTACTTCTGGAGAGGGCGCTCCTGACTGGGAATCCGGGTTACTTTTGACGGATTAACCTATGCAATTCGGGGAGTATAAATACTACCCCTTTGGTTCATTTTGACACAGCAGTCTTAACATAGTTCTTAGAAACCTCCTCTTAGTTTGTAATAATCATCTTTGGTATTTTAGCTTAGAAACTCTCACATTATACTAATCATTGTAGTTGGATATAATATGCTTGATTTGACATTGGAATGTAGATTAAGTATGTCATTACTTATTGCAAATTTGATTATGTATCTCCTATTGCTAAACTCTCACATTATACTAATCATTGTAGTTGGATATAATATGCTTGATTTGACATTGGAATGTAGATTAAGTATGTCATTACTTATTGCAAATTTGATTATGTATCTCCTATTGCTAAACTAATGAGGAATCTAAGTTTAGGAGTGTGAGTTGTTTCGTAATTGCATGAGGTTGGTCTTACATGTAGTCCTTGCTATCTCTTGTCTATTTGCTCATAATATGCTTGATTACCATGGTTGAGTGGATCTCACTCCCTAGTGCTTTTATTTACTTGATTTAGAACAATAGCTTGTTTATCTACTTGACGAACCCCCAACCAACAATAGTCTTCGAACTAGCTTGCGTGTTAAGATCTTTAGCAATTATATCCTGTTCCTTGTGGACCGAACTTTTACTTATCATTGTGCTTGGTTTGTGAGATGTTTGCTTATAAATGTGTTTGAATGAGTGTGGAATGTGCGACCGTTCTAACGCCCATCATAAGCCACACAAAGATCAGGATCGTAAGAGATACCATGTTCAGGAATAACATTATCAGGAAGCCAATTATCCAGCCATACTCTTACATTGTAACCATTTCCAACTCTCCACCGCAAACCATCCAAGAGCAATGACTTAGAACCCCACAAACTCCTCCAAGAATAGCTCGGATCATACCCTCTACACGCCTCCAAAATAAAGGCATGCTTAAAGTATCGAACTTTAAGCATAGCGTGCAAAAGAGGGTTAGGATTATTGTGTAGGCGCCGTAATTGCTTCGCTAACAATGCTTGGTTGAATACTTTAAGATCCCATAATCCCATCCCTCCCATCGACTTGGGTTTACATAAAGAGGACCAACTATGCCAATGCATCTTTCTATTCGTCCCATTTGACCCCCCACCAAAATCGAGCCAAGAAAGCATGAATTTCATCAATCAAACCTTCCGGTACCTTAAAAATACTCATCATGTATGTCGGAATCGTCTGAGCCACGACCTTAATTAAAGTCTCTTTCCCGGGACTAGACAAAGTCTTTTATTTAATTTCCACCCCTAAATTTTCCACCATATCCTTTCCTTCAGACTTGCAAAAATCACCTTCTTAGATCGGCTAATTAAAATAATAGTCAGTAATCCCAAGTATTTCTCATGTCTTTCAACTTCTTTCACCCCTAGAATATTAATGATTTCTTAACGTCGATTCGCATCCACACATTTGCTAAACACAACATCTGTTTTGGTCAGATTGACACTATGACCTGATGCTCTTTTATACTTGTTGATTATATCAGCTATAACTGAGCACTCTCTAACAATAGCCTTAGCAAATAAAATGCTATCATTAGCAAAAAAACAAATGCGAAATTCTAGGGGCACCCCTGCAAATTTCTTTCTCATGAATCAAATTGTCCATAGTAGCTTTGCAAATAAGTGTCGAGAAAGCATACCCCTAGTAGGAGTAACTGACCCCGAAATCGCCCCATTTATGTAATACCCTGGAAATTTCCTTCTTTTTAAAATACTCATTTTACTCTAAATAAAACCCTTTTTAGGAAATAATCAAAATACTATTGCCACTGTGATAACAGCTAAGGCTAATTTTCAAAGTCACACAACAGAAGTCTAAAAATAAAAACCAACTTTCAAAAATAAAACTTGAGTTCACAACCTCAAAAAAAATGTAGAATAAAACATTCACAAGTTGGAACCAATTCAAACATGGCCCTTCTCAAAAATCAATTAAAAATAAACACAATCTCGGTAGTCCATAAATAAACCAATAATTCAAAAATATTAAACTAAGAAACATAACAAGTAACTCTCTACACTCTTTCCCATCATGCTCTTCATGCTTCAAGTACCTGTTACTTCCTCTTTATTTCAACCCTATACTTACCATATAAATGGGTCATAATAAGGTCAATCCAAAGGAAAGCCAAACACAAACACAAAAGTACGAATCAGTAAAAGCTGAGTACATATGCACCACACTAACATGAATATCCTAGCATCAAAATAAAATAATTAAAACATGCTCGCCATACAATCACAAGTCAACTTACCTTTGACTCATAACTAGCAATATTAATTATTAATAATAATTTTGGATTACGCATCGAACGGGTTTCCTTCCTTGAAAATAGCCCATTTAAATTGAGTTTCCAATCAGGGAGCTACCTCAATTGGCACCTACTATGTCACACTTGTGACGGATTTCCAGAGCATCAATAATAAAAGAATTGAAAGTAAAGCGTCCTGTACCCCTGTATGTAGAAGGTATGGTAAAATATAAAACCCCATAACTCCCCCCATATGTTCATACTCAAGGTATATACATTCCAAGAGTTTTCGTGCATATCCTCTTACACTTTACGTGATTTACCAATTTAACTTGTGATGACTCCGACAAATCAATCAAGAACAAACATAATAACAATCAACATGTACTTCCATTTAATTATTGAATTAATACTATTTATTTTAATTAAGGTTCATTGCCTAGTTTTGTGCACAAAATTGCACGATTACTACCTTGGTGCATAAAATGCACTACTAAACTTCCTTTACTCGAACTCAAATGACATGAGCGAGTAAATAAATAAATAAATTAACTTCTTGACTCAACACCAAAAAAAAATGGGTGAGAAATAAATTCAGAATCATGCTCAATAATTCTAACTTTAGCTCCTTTAAACATACATAAGCCTTGCTTATTAAATACATGCCTTCTTGATACTTGAAAATAAAGCATACTTCCATGATTCATACATATTCAACTTGTATCATGCCTCAAATAACATATTTACATGCTTGCATAACAATTCATGCTCAACCAACATCAATTCCTAGCATATAATCAACCAAACATGCTACTAATTCATCACTTAAATCATATTTTACAATTCTAGCATGATACTACACAAACACAAATATTCTTGTGCACATACGTACCTTGAATAATACCTAAACTCAGCCACACTCGCTAGAAATCACCTAGCTCGAAGCTTCCTACAAATAAGAATACATAACTATAATTAATCCACTATTCTCACAAATTTCTAGCAACTATAATACACTTTAAATCTTACTAATCAACCCAATTTAATGACATAAAAGCCATAAAACCTTTTCTTTACGTGGGTACTTCAAATCATTTCAAAAAGACTTAATTTTTATGACTTAAATACAATTCCAGCATACTTATTTAATATAAAACATCACTAATAGACTAGGAAATCATATTTAAATCATTAAACCTTTTTCCCTTTTTATGGGTAATCAAACCCTAACTCAATAATTAAAAAGTAGTGTGCATAAATAAATTCCAGCATTAATTTCAGAGCTTTAAACTCATTAAAAACATGTTTAAATCATTAATTAAACAATAAAAACAACCTAGGATCAAACCCTAACCATATACATTAAATTCCCAAATTCTAGGGTTTGTAAATTAGGGTTTTTGATTTAATTAAAATATGAAAATTATATGAATAATTTAACAACATCAAATACCCAAAATTAGTACCAAAACACAATCAAAATCATGCTTTAAAAATAACAAAACAATAAAATTAAATTAGGAAGAGAAAAGAGTTTTATTTTTTTTTATTATTTGTACCAAACCGAAAAGGAGGGGGAAGGAGGAGAGAACTTGTGACCGGCTGGGTCACCGACTGCTGTTGCTGGCTGCCAATGGACGCCGGTGGTGCTCTGATGCGCCGGTGGGAGAGAAAAGAGGAGAGAGAAAGGCGTGAAAGGAGAGAGAAAAGGAGAGGAAAAAGAAAGAGAAAATAAAGAGAAAACTTTTGGGATTTTTGTGAAATCTAACAATTATGATTTTTGAGTGAAAAACCTTGAGCTTTTGAAGTATTTATACTCCCCTTTTAAAACAAAAACTCATAATTACAAAACTGTCATTACTAAATCCTACTCCCCCTTAACTTCTTCCTTTGGGGCCAACTTGTTGGGCACTTAAGTGTCCTTAAATTCCCAACAAGTTTATCCAACTATTTAAATAAAGATGACCCAATTCAAAATACATTTATTGCCTCAATTAATGACTCATATTATTTTATACACACTTACATAATATTTAAAAAATTAATTTCTGTTAAAATGAAATAAATTATTTTGATTTATAAAAATAATAAAATAAATACGGAGTATTACAGTCTACTCCCCATAAAAGAAGTTTCGTCCTCGAAACTTAAGCACGAAAACCATAAAACTTTGTTCAAAACTTATTTAAGACTGTACTTTTTCACCCACTAAGTAAAAACTTTTTTTAAACTTATAGTTGTTGTACTTTTTGTAACCTTTCTAGTTCTCTTTCTTTCTAAACTTTGTATAAAATTGTGATTAAAATGCACAAAACTGCTTGAAAATACGGTAAGAAGCACGAAATTCTACCGCATTCTACCACACATTAAAGAAAACGAGTTACTTCCCCGTAACTCAACTAACCTTAAACAATTTTGGGTACTTCTTTCTCATTTCATCCTCAGCTTCCCATGTCAGTTCCTCGGTTTCTTGATTTGACCACAAAACCTTTACTATCTTGACATCTTTCTTGAGTGTACTATGCACTTTACTATCAAGAATCCTTATAGGTCTTTCCTCATAGATTAGGCATTGGTCTAGTTCCATGGTTTTAGGTTGTAGGACATGCGACTTGTTTGGGATGTACCTTCTCAATTGAGAAACGTGAAACACATCGTGTACCTTGATAAGGTCCATAGGCAATGCCTATCTTTAGGCAACTTTTCCTATTCTTCGCAAAATCTCATACGGTCCAATGTACTTTGGACTCAACTTTCCTTTCTCCCCAAATCTCATTACTCCTTTCATATGTGATACCTTGAGCAAAACCTTGTCACCAACTTGAAATTCCTCTCTCTACGCTTTAAATCTGCGTAGCTCTTTTGTCTATCTTGAGCAGCTTGAATCTTAGCTTGAATTTCTCTCACTTGCTTCGTTGTTTCTTCTATCAATTGAGGACCTAGAATTATCGTCTCACTAATGTCACTCCAACATAGTGGATTCCTACACTTCCTTCCATACAAGGTCTCAAATGGTGCCATGCCAATGCTTGCATGGTAACTATTATTGTAAGAGAATTGTACCAAGTCCAAACTATCTTCCCATCTACCTTGGTAATCTAACACACATGATCTTAACATATCTTCCAAGGTTTGGATAGTTCTTCATATTTTCCATCTGTCGTAGGGTGAAATGTTGTACTCATCTTCAATGTCGTACCACAGTTCTCCTGAACACTTTTCTAGAATTTCGAAAGAAACCTAGAATCCCTATCAAAAACGATATCCTTAGGAACTCCATGTAGCCTCACAACATTCTTGATGTAAGCCTTTGCAAGTTGTTCCATTTTCCAACTCTTTCATTGGTATAAACACTGCCGATTTGGTAAGCCTATCCACCACAACCCAGATGGTATCATTCCCATTCTTAGACTTAGGTAAATTAGTGACAAAATCCATCGAGTTGCAATCCCACTTCCAAGCCGGGATCTCGAGTGGTTGTACTGTTCCCTGTGGTCTCTTTGCTCTATATTCACTTTCTGACAGGTTAGACACTAGGCTACAAACTCTGCTACCTCCTTCTTCATCTTCAGCCTATACACCTTTTTCAAGTCCTTGTAAAGTTTATCTCCTCCTAGATGTATTGAATAGGGTGTATTATGCCCTTCTTCCACCAACTTCTTCTTTAACTCCTCACAGTTTTATGGAAAACACCACCTCCCCTTGAATCAAATACTCCCATCATCATGGATTCTGAAAGCAGTCGCCTTCCCTTGTTTGATCTTCTCCCTTATGCGATCTAATTTCACATCCCCTACTTGATTATCCTTAATCTCATCGAATATCGTTGGTTGGATACTCAAATTATTAAGAATTCCTTCCAACGTTCCATGTGGTACTACCTTGAGGTTCAACTTACTCATTTCCTTACAAAGTTCATCTGCCACTACCAAAGCGTTCACCCCATGAGTTTCTTTGCGACTTAGAGCATCTGCGGCTACATTCGCTTTACCCTCGTGGTATTGGATATCTATTTCATAGTCATTGAAGAATTCTAGCCACCTACGTTGTCTCATGTTCAAGGTTGATTACGTGAAAAGATACTTCAAACTTTTATGGTCTGTGAATATCCTACATTTCACTCCATATATATAATGTCTCCATATTTTCAACACAACAAACACTATCGCTGCCAATTCTAGATCATGAGTAGGGTAGTTAACTTCATGTTTCTTCAATTTCCTCGATGCATAAGCAATCACCTTCCCATTTTGCATCAAAACACACCCAAGTCCATTCTTAGATGCATCACTATATACATCATAAGAACCACTCCCATCAGGAGGCGAAAACACGTAATTCGCACTGGTTCAAAACCCCCATTTAGCACCGGTTTTGAACCGGTCCTGATTTTGGGGGGTGCTAAAACCCCAGACATTTCGCACCGGTTCAAAACCAGTGCGAAAAACCACACTTTTTGCACCGGTTTTGACTTAGAACCGGTGCCAAAAGTCCCCAAAAATATTTTAAAAAAAAACTTTTAGCACCAGTTCTTTTCCAAAACCGGTGCCAAAAATGCCCAAAAAAATTAAAACAAAAATTTTTTTTTTTTGCATTTTTTTCACTTAAATTGTACCAAATACTTATATATAATCATAATATACATAAAACACATATATTTTCTTCAATAACTTGTAATATTACACTTTAAAAAACCTAAAAAAAAAAAATAATAAAACACTTGAGATTTCAGTTGAATGCTGACTACTTCATCAATCCACTTTGTAGTGCTGAGAAATGATTGCCTATCTGAGCAGCTTACCTCCCATATTATAGCTGATCGATCCTTAGATGCTGATGCTAAATATTTCCCTTTATGAGAAAATTGCAAGCACCATACTTCATCTTGATGCCCTTCTAAAATCTGCTCATATAACATTCAACAGACCAATAAATTTCAGATCACGACATCGGATAAAGAAAGCTATCAGTCACATCTAAATGAGCAATCACAAGAGTGCCAAAATGTCATTCTCTCAAACAGGGGAGAAGAACACACCCAGACAGGGGAGAAGATGGGGATCTAAAACCACAAGCAGATCAGTGATATATTCAAAAACTAAGAGACCACACCAAGTATAAAGTATGATCAACTGATCACATAAGATGACATATATGCAAAAAATCCTTTTCCAAAAAAAAAAAAAAAAAATCAAATTTTACATTTTTACCTGAGCCATTTGTATGTTGGACATTAACATGTAGCTATGTTTAACAAATGAGAATTAACCAAATTATATAAGTCAACCAAATATGTAGATCTGCATTTGGGTTGGAGCAACAAGGGAAGGGGAGAACATAAAGTGACAAGTAATATGTCAACAATAATACTTCAAGCTTGAGAATAAAAAAGGTAAACCTTGAATCTCAGAACTACGATAGGCATCCTCTATAAGATGCATTACACTTCATCAATGATTAAATGTAAAAAAAATACTTGAATTTGTGTCCCAATCTTTACATAAACTTCAACAACCCATTGTTCAATGTGATCATCTTCAATCTAATCCTTCATTTTCATACAACGATTTGCTGAAGCTCCGAGACAGAAGTCACGGGACTGCATTAAAGTCAAACTAGCTTCTACACAGGAGCTCTAAACCTCTTCAACTAAGTAACAACCCAAAAAATAAAATTGGAAGAGATTATGGTTAGTTTAAGGCTTAACATAAAGAAAATAAAAAATTACATGTTTTCAGGAGAGTATGGTTAGTTTAAGGCTTAACATAGCAACTGTGGAATACTGGTAGCTGGACAACTTGGAGATTCTAGTAGACCACTCTTTTATTCTATTTTTTTTTTTTGGAACCAAAGCCCCAAGAGGGAACTCAATTATCATTACTCGACTGAAAATCAGAGATAGCCAAATTACAAACACAGTGAGGAAAATCAGACATCCAAACTCTCCTATCAAGACCCCAAGGAGACACATGAGCAAGCTCATGAGCCTCCTTATTACCTTCTCTACCCACCCATGCCCAAGAAATACAACTGAACTTGCTAGCAACAAAGTGAATATCCTCCAACAGAAGCTAAAAGGAGTGATTGCCAGCTTCACCTTCTTTGATAGCATGAATGACGCTCTCACTGTCATTTTCAACCACCACCTTGATCACTAAATTCCCAAACAATTCTCTAGCTAACAAAATCACAAAGCAAAAAACAGTAGACTAAAAACACAACTACCACTCTAGGGGTTGGAAAACTGGAGCAGTGCAAATATAGACACCACACAGCTAGTAAAATTGGCAACAACAAATCAGAAGAAATAAAATAAATGAAAATGAAAATTAAAGTAACATACATGGTCCAGTAAAGGAGACATGGTAACAGCATTCACAGGTTGCTCTGGACTGTAGGATTTAAGGAGAGTTAAAGTCTTAACATAAATTGTTGTGTGCTCATATAATAAATAGCCGAAATATTAATACATATTACATAAGACAACATTTTGTCTGAGTAACATTGTTATAAAGCAATCCTCAAGACATCACAGCTCTTCCCACCCTCGAAAGCATTAAAATTAATCAGTTAAACCAAAATACCTATGCCCACATATCAGTCAGTAACTCAGAACCTAATAGCAACCAAAGTTAAGGACACTCATGAACATATACAACAAACATAAGGTTGTACAAAGTAAATCATAACACACGCAGGTCAAAGACGAGTACATTCAGATTATAAAAATCAGTTAATCAACACACAAAAGCTGAACATCCAGGCAACCTTGTTAAATTTTGATAACATATCAACGTAAAGACATTGACAAGAAAAGGTACTGACTTGGAATGGTGACGCCACATTTGCTGAATCAAGCTCCATCTCAAACTTTTTCTTTGAGCCTGCTCTTTTCTCCTGCAGCCATTTCCTGGCTTCCATAATTGCTGAGGTCCGCATATTTGGAGTAGTTTCACCTAGAGGAAAAAAATCAGGAAAAAAAAAAAAAAAAACAATTGTATCAGGCAATTACGTAGACATTGCTGTCAATATCAGGATCAAAATCTTGCAAAGCAATTTACCAAAAGTTCCATTGTTGTCCACTATACGAGACCTGACAAGTTTTATCAATTCATTTGATTCTTTCCTGGTCAGAGAAAACATCAATTGACATGAACATACAACTCCAAATTGAACTGTAGCATATTAGATGGTATAACTATCATCACATAATTAAATGTTGAGTAAACTGATAAAAATATATGAAGTCGACCATATGTGCTGTAAATGCCAGACAACAAAATGGGGAATAAGTTGATTCAGTTAATTGTTGATTCTAAATTTTCTACCTCTTTCTCCTTTCTCCCCTCACTCTATTTATACTAATGCTAAAGACTATTAACCTGATAATACATTGAAATCAGTTATTTTATATTTGGCATAACATGAATATGAGTCAATGAAATGACCTTTTAAAAAGCTACAATCAAATAATACTGTCTATAGTATACATAAACCACATTCACTTCATGAATAACTTAATTGCAATTAGTAATAAATCATTATCCTACTAAACAACTAATATTAATAGATATTGTGGAAAGAAAGGGAGGGGAATAGGGGATAGACGAAGGGTAAACAAAAAAAAAGGTTAGGGGAAGGAAGATGTGAACTTGTATATTTCTTCCAAATCTTTCATTAAATGATTTGGTTTATTAAAAAAAGGAAGGAAAATGAATCCCTTGCAATTTTGCACCCTTCCCATCCCCCAAATCATACCCAAAGGTCCCATGAGGAAAGATGAACCCTTAACTTTTCTTCCCCCCCCCCCCCCTTTTCCTTAAAATTATCCTTATCCAAACACATTGTACATGCGGACCAAGAAGCTTCAAATAGAAAAATAAGCAGAATTCTGCAAATATGTCTCTTCAATATGTCTCTTCAGTCATTAACTGTTCAATTGCACGCTTATTATCACTCTTGCTGGATAGAGACATCAACTAAGAAATGAAATACAACACGTTAGCTCTCATCTTAGCCCTAAATTTTAGTACCGCTAGAGGTTGCAAATACTCATGAAAGGTAACAAGAGGCAAATTATGGACAGTAGAATACACCCATTCAAGTCCCAAATGCACACTATAGCTCTAAGTAAGCAAAGGACAAACCCTTATTAGCTCTAAGAGGCAAATTATGGACAGTAAAATACACCCATTTTAGTACCGCTAGAGGTTGCAAATAGAGTGACGCATCCTTGTACAGTTGTACCAGTACATCTCAAAGAAACAAAAACAAAATCACAGCAATCACACACTAACACACACAGTACACAAGAAATCTTCAATAATAAAAAAAATATCAAACAAAAAAGATCGAAGAAAAAGGGGGGAATTGACGATAAACCCTAGAAAAAGAAGGCCCTGCCGCCGTGACAAAGAGATCATTGTGGTGGACGTAGAGCCGTGCGCGCTTCAATGAAAAACCCTAGATTACCACAACCCTAAAATTACTAAATTGAAAAGCAAATCAACGACAAACCCTAGATTGCGAATGAATTCGAGGGATTAAGTAGACCACAAGAAAAATCTTACCTCGAAACTGCTTCAATGGAGGTGAGAAAGGTCAGAATTGGCTTCAATGGAGGATATAGAGCACAACGAGTTCAATGGAGGCCAGAGATATGGAGAGAGAAGGAGGTGCTGCTTCAATGGAGTGAGAAAGCTCGTAAATCACTTCAATGGAGAGAGAAGGAGGTGCTGCTTCATGGAGTGGAAATTCGGGATGGTGGAAGAGAAGGCGAAAACGAGAAGGAAGCAGGAGATGAAAAAGTAGGGGGAAAGAAAGAAAGAAAGAAAGAAAGTACGCAGCCCGTTTTTTTAAAAAGAATTTCGCACCGGTTTGGTTTGAATCGGTGCGAAATCCCTTTCTCCCTTTTTTCTCGTTTGTAATTCGCACTGGTTTGAACCGGTGCGAAAAAGATGATTTTGCACCGATTTAATAGGAACCGGTGCAAAAAGTCATATTCCCAATCTTGCCCACCGGTTTTCAAGAACCGGTGCGAAAAGTATGGTGCCTAATTCATTTTTTCTACTAGTGTAAAGTCAACACTGGTGCTGTAGTCAAACTCTTCTTCAAGGTTTAAAACGCTTCTACACACTTATTACTCCAGATGAACTTCAATTCTTTCTTCATCAATGAAGTCATAGGTCTAACTATCTTTGAAAAGTCCTTCACAAACCACCTATAATATCCACCTAGGCCTAAGAAGCTTCGAGTATCCGACACATTTTCGGGTGTAGGCCACCCCTTCACTGCTTCAATCTTTGCAGGATCTACCTCTACTCCTTCATTAGATGCAAAATGTCCCAAAAATGCTACCTTCTCCAGCCAAAACTCACACTTTGAGAATTTGGCATACAATTGGTTAGTCCTTAAAGTAGCTAATACTGATCTCAAATGCTCTGCATGGTCCTTTTTATTCTTTGAATAAACCAAAATATCATCAATAAATACCACAACGAATTAGTGTAGGAAAGGTTGAAACACTATATTCATCAAGTCCATAAAAATTGCAGGTGCATTTGTTTACCCAAAAGGTAAAACTATAAACTCATAGTGTCCATATCTCGTCCTAAAAGTCGTTTTTGGAATGTCCTCTTCTGCAATTCGTAGTTGATGATATCCAGACCTCAAATCAATCTTAGAAAACACTGTTGCACCTTTCAATTGGTCAAACAAGTCATCTATCCTAGGCAAAGGGTATTTGTTCTTTATGGTTACCTTGTTTAACTCCCTATATCGATGCATAGCCTCATGCTACCATCTTTCTTCTTCACAAACAATACAGAAGCTCCCCATGGTGATGCACTTGGTCGTATGTATCCCTTCTTCAACAAATCCTGTAATTGACTTTTAAATTCGCTCATCTCAGCAGGCGTCATCCTATATGGTGCCTTAGAGATAGGTGTTGTTCCAGGTACTAAGTCTATGGTAAAGTCTATGGTTCTTTTTGGCGGCATACTTGGAATCTCTTCAGGAAACACATCTAGACACTTCCTTACTACTTCAATATCCTCTAGTTTAGATGGTTCCTCATACTCCAAGTTTCTCACACTATAGAAATAGATTGGGTTTCCCTTCTTCATATATTTTACCAACTTCATCACATAAATGATCTTAGTATGCCTGGGTTTTCCATGCCTCCAATGGGTTATGAGCTCTCCCTAAGCCGTTTTCAAGTGGATTTTCTGTGACATCAAATCTTAGCATGATAACGACATAACCAACCCATTCCCAGAATTATTTTAAGGTCTCCTAGTTCAAATTCAATCAGGTTGGATAGGAATTCCTTACCTTTAATCATTATGGGAACATCCTTATAGACCTTAGTACAATGAACTACACCCCCATTTGGAAGTTCTATAGGAATATTTATGTCTTCTAAAGTTTTCAAACAATACGATAGTTTTGGAAGCATAGTTTTAGAAATAAAAGAATATGTTGCACCAAAATCAATCAAAACTTTAACAGGAACTGAGTTTATAGAAAATGTACCATTAATGACATCTCTCGCTGCGTCAGCCTCACGCAAACCCATCACATTAAGCTTTCCTGGTGTTCCACCTTTAACTTGTGTGTTACCACTATTGGTATTGTTATTTCCATTCTAAAACTACGTCCCCTTGTTCACTTGATTCTCATTGCTCCCTTGACCTTCTTTATGCTGATTCCAGTTCTGTCCACTACCCTTAAATTGGTTGTTTCCTAGACCCCCTTTATTCTTAGAGAAACACTCATACGCCCTGTGCCATTGCTTGTTGCGCAGGTTACAAGTGACTAATTTACCCTCATAGTCTTTCCCTGGGTGGTTGTTGGAACATCTTTTACAGTAATATATCCTCTGGTATGATCTCCAGGCTGGTTCTTATTTCTCTTTGGAAAATTGCGCCCACCTTGGTTGTTCCTATTGTTCTGGAAGTTAATTTCTTGGTGGTTGTTAAACTTTTGCTTCTTAAAGTTATTCTGGTTCCCAGACGGTCTAGAACTAGTCATAGATTCCTTTCTTTTCTCCCTAGCTTCCAACTCAGCCCTTTTAGCTATCTCCTTTAACTCTAATGCATGTAAATGCGCTGCCCTACCATACAACTCATCCAAATTGTCAAACACTTGTCCTGACAATTTGCTTTCGAGAGAAAGAGGCAATCCCCTCTCAAACCTTCTAGATTTTTGCCTATCAGTAGATAACCACAATATCTTCAGCAAACCTAGACAGCTCGATAAACTTAGTGTAATACTGAGTCAGCGACATACTCCCCATCTTAAGTTCAAGGAACTCATCAGCTTTCTACTTCTGCAAGAATATAGGGTAGCACTTATCCCTCACTTGCTCCTTGAACACATTCTATCCAAAGTTAGGTAATGCTCTCACAACTCGTTAGGTAATGCTCTCACAGCTTGTTCATTCTCCTGCCACCACAGATAGGCTGCACTACTCACTTTGGACTCGTTAGGACATGCTACTGCCACAAACAACTTCTCAAACTCTCTCAACCAGTTTTCAAGGACAATTGGGTCAGGTTCTCCTTGGTAGGTAGGAGGTTTGCTTTGGGTTGTCTTCTTAAACAACTCCCCAGCAAGGTCAGGATTGTTATTGTTATTCCTTTTAGCTAACTGTTGAGTTACAACAGCTAATTGTCTTACTACCTCATTCAGATCATTGTTATTGTTTTTTTTCCTTACCATCCTAGTCCTCCTGAATAAAGAAATGACTACTATTAGGTAGGTTGGTCACAACTCTTTTGTAACTAGACGATAACCAAGCTACTTTAATACAAGCATATAGGCAGTCATTTTGAATTGTAGTAGAAGTAACTACTCATTTCTCCTACTAATAATTCAAAATATTGTTTTGGTTGTCATGCAACCATTTCACTTACGTTAATACATCACAAAAATGTTTTTGAGTCATTTCCCTTGATACCATTTATAGAAAATAAAGGCAATAAATGACGTTTGATAAGGTTGTTTGAAGATGGAAATAAATATATAAAGAATAAATAATATTTTATTGAAATACTGAAAAGAAATATTTGGAACATCCCAAATGTAGCTTTGCTACTTATTACTCACGCAGTACTTTATTAAACTGTAGCTATGAATGATAAATGAAATACATACTCAAAGCACTATAGAAAGTTAGTCTAAAATCTTCAAATGTTGAGATTACCAATCTTGTCTCTTATCTCCTTGTACTTCCTTGGATTATACTCAGGATCACTCCCATTATCCCCATCATTGATGTTTCGGGGTTTTTTGTGTCCCCCTCGGGAGAGTTACGTCACCAAGACTAATTTCCCGCCTGTTGTACCTGCAAAACAGCGGAAGCTCCGGGTGTTCGTAGTTCCACCTCTGACGATCAAGTTAGAAGGTGTTCGGAGTGATGTAAAAGTGCGGAAAGTAAAAGTGGATCTTCTCGGATTTCGAGATCTGGTGATTTCTCTGTTTTTGAGAGAATTGATTGTGTGAAATAAATGAACGTGCCCCCAAATTCGGGTGAACCTCCCTATATATAGGGTCATTGGGATTTTTGCTCTTAGGTCAATATTCTGACCTAGATTGGTGGGCTGCGCCGCTTTACGGCTTTCTCAGGAATTGCGCCATGAAGGTCGTCTTTTTCCCAGCTAATTAGGAGTGCCACGTGTTAGCTGGGGATTGGTTTATTTAGAACCTCTCCTAGGGTAACACGTGTCACCTTCTGATTGAACCACGCGGCCTGGGTATTTTTACCCAAAACATTTGCCCCTCACAGGAGTGATGTGGCGTGCCACGTGGCGCTTGTGACACTTGTCACTCATGCATTGGTGAACCGTTTTTAACTATTTATCTTCTAGGGAAATTTCAAGGATGCCCTTGAATTTACCCCTTTATATATAGAATTCCCCCCCCCCTCATTTTTGACATTTTCATAAAAGTCTAGAGAGAGAAAGTCAAAACTTTAGAGAGAGAGTGTCTGATGACTGCCTAAGTATCTCCCAAACAGTTTGCTTGTTTTCCAGCCCACCTGCTACAGCCGATCAGCGCTTGACACCCTTTTTCTCCAGAAACAAAACTTTGAGGTACCGTCTCTCTTCCTCTTACTCTTTTACCGTTTGTGTATATTGCTTTGAATAAATGGATTCACCATCAGCACACACGCCACGGCCTGGGACAGTAGTCAGCTAGTCCCCTAGTACGGCTGAGTCTAGAACTGGGGGTGCCACCTCTGGGTGTCTGTACCACCCTTGTAACTCCCTAAATCCGACCGTCTCTGTGTCTGTACAAGACACAATGCCTAGGTTAATGTGGACGGCACCATATCCAAACTATAGAGAGGAAGGCACAAAAGGTGTTCCGCCTGATGAGGTGGAGCCGGTTGGCGAGGAAAGAGAGTCTCATCTGGGTGCACCTAGCACTCCTAGTGATGTAATCTTAGAGGACTCAGAGCATGGAGACGGCAAAGTGACCGACCTGTTTCTGGCTCTGAGAGAGACGAAGAGGAGGCCGCCTCTGGGTCTAGCTCTGAAGGGAGCAATAGTGGCTCACTATCACCGCTTGAGGATAGTGAGGAAGAAGGACGTAAAAAATGGGTTAACAAGAATGATCCGTTTCAAATCCATGTGTCTGCTAGGGATAGGGCAAGCATGGAGAAGGGTCTGACGGACTTTAAATTGAAACGTCCTCTTGGTGAGGGCTATTGCATCCGGGTGCCGCCTAAACTGGGCACTAAAGCATGGAAGGATGATCAGCCAAATGCCAACGATTACTTTGGCTGCTACGAGGCAGCGTTCTTAGTCGGTCTCTGCTTCCCCTTCATGACGCAATAAAGG